GAGTATGGGTCACCATACTTGGCCACATGTCACGTCACTTTTCACTTTTTCACTTTTCACTTTTCAATATTACAGCGAGAATAAAAGTTACGTCTTCTTTCTTTGCGTGAACATTTGGGCGGTGTTATGCAAATCTTCCCACATCGTGACGTAGACATGTGGGGGCGTGTTAGAACGAGCTGTTTTAGGTAGGCGTGGTTGACTCAACTTTTATAAAGAATATCTCTTTGGATTTGAGACTTTAGTCTTTGCAACTTTACAGATCTTCTTTATGCACCAAGAGCTTGTAACACTTCAAAGAGAATGGAAAAATTGAAATCCCATCATATGACCCCTTTAAGTGGGTAAATAATAACAAAATTCTCATTTGCGTGTGAATTATCCCTTTAAATCACAGTATTAAAAATGACAGAGCTGTCACTGCACAGAGCCCATGTAAAATGTAATATAAGGTCATTCTATTTTAGGAATCTACTCAACTGTGCATGACATTCCGAGACCAAATCAGCCGTGATGTGAACTGACGGCACGGTAAATGGTCAGAAAGTGAATCGTCGTTCGCATGGTTGGCACGAGGAGGAAAAATCTGGCTTTGGTCAACAAAATATTACTCACAGTTTAAAACCAATCCATCCGTGTGCTGATCTTTTATATGTTCTCCAATAATAAGCTCCTGATTCAGCTCAACACACAGCACAGTATGGATCACAAGCACAAATCAGCTCAGGAAGTGAGGTCTACTTTAACTGTAATTACAAATATCGGGTACTTATGCAGAGTCAAGTGATGTACTGCATGCTAATTTCAGTATCGACGCTGTCAGGATAAAATATGGCACAACACTTAATTAACAATAAACACAGTTATATTACCCAGAAAGAGAGTTTGATAGTCTCATTAACACAAAGCTGCCAGTGCAAGTTGTATTACTGAACTATAAATACATGAACACATGGGGAAGAGAGGGGAATGTGGGTAGGGTAAGCGCTCATGTTGTCCAGCAGAGGGAGCATTCACACAGAGCTTCACTCAGGTGAAGAGACTGCGGGATTGCGGCTAATCAGATCCTGATACATTAGCAGAACCACACATTAAATTCATGCTGAATCAACTGATCATGTCTGCTGTCTACTAAAGGTGCTTGGGGATGGGGATGAAGCGTCACAAGGATGTACACTACTGTTCAAAAGTTTAGAGTTAGTAAGATGTTTTAATGTTTTTTAAATTAGTCTCTTTATACTCACAAAGGCTGTATTTATTTGATTAAAAATATAGTAAAACAGTATAATGAAATATTATTGCAATTTAAAATTATTGTTTTCTATTTTAATATATTTTTTTAAATTATTTATTCTTAAGATGGCAAAGCTGAATTTTCAGCATCATTATACAAGTCTTCAGTGCCACATGATCCTTCAGAAATCATTCAAATATGCTCAAGAAACGTTTTTTTTTCTTTCTTGAAAACGGTTGTGCCGCTTAATAATTTTGTGGAAACCCTGAAACATCTTTTCAGGATCCTTTAATGATTTGAATCAGCATTGAATTAAAAACTGAAATCTTTTGTAACATTACCAATATCTTTACTGTTACTTTTGATCAATCCTGGCTAAATAAATCTATTAATTTCTTACAAAACTTTCTCCAGTCAACAAGACTCTGCTTTGAGAATAATCATTTGTGTTTAATTAAATCATTAACAAATTAATAAATAGATTTATTCAAATAAAAAAGGAAATTAGAGAAAGTTTCCATCTGCTCATCAACACACATGATACGATCCCAGAAAAGTTAATCAAGTGTCTGTTTTCGAAGCCTCCTAATTTAGCATCTCATGCCTGTAGCACAGTAATATGTCTAGCAGGTCTGTTTTCACTTCTGCGTTAGCATCATACCTGCAGCTAAACCCCCTCCAGCTGACATTAATATTTCAGCATGCCTTCAGCACGAGAAGATCCAGTCTGGCCTCAGACTGTGCTACATTACGGTTTTACAGTAAAGCATCAGCACTCTGTGGTGGAGGCTGGGATGGATACACCTCTCCCTCTATGTGTCATTTGCTCTGGCCTGCAGCAAAACACAGGAAGAATGCATCAAACCTGCCAGTAACATTAAGGGCTAGGAGCTAAAGGTCTGTCATTGTAAATCTGTCATGAGCCACTTATAATTGACTTTATGGGTTTGCAAATCAATACTACGGTTTATGGAGAACCTTTGAGATTGTAACGCACAGTCAGTAATAAAATCTCATTTTCTCAAGGTATCTTTACACAGCCAAGTTCTTTGTCTGCTCCAATTTTGCTTCAAGATGCAACACCACATAAAAGCTGTGCTAAAATATGCCAGTTGTGACCCACCTCAGGCCCTTGTTTTGGAGATGATTCTGATGCTGAATTGATTCTCCATAAGTAAAATGCAGCTTCACAGCACCCAAACACACATACATCAACATTCTATATGATATAGAAATGAAGCTTTTATAGAAACAATACAAAGATTGCTGCAGTGACTTTCCTGCATAGTTCAGACCATCCTGACAGTCAAATTCCAGCTGTAAGGTCTGAATGATGGGTAGCATTTTGACTTTAATGTTGTGGAGAGGCGTTCCTGGGGCTCTTTGTGGACAGCATGCCTATGCTGCAGTTGACTGTGGAGACAGTCGAGTTTGAGGCTGAGCAGACAGTGGACTCAGGATCCGGAGCAGACTTGAAATTAATTAGAAGTTTGATAGCTGTTTACAGAGTGTTTAATTACAGTGGTAAAGGACAACTAGATTTGAGCTCTGAGACACCTCTTGGGAACTACATAAAAGAAAGAGCAAGAAGACTTCAAGTGGCTCGATAGAAATGACTCCCCGACTACACTACAATGTCCTAAGTTTGACTTTAATTGAATTTTCATCTGTGATATTATTCCAGGTAAGAAAACGAAGTCATTATTTGACTCTAAAGAGCCTTTGCTTCAAATAAATCAGACATTGCACCAAAAACCTGAATAAACCTAATCCTGGGCTACTCAGGGTTAAAAGTGGCCTTAATTCTGGCTTTAAAAAGACAATTGGGTTTAGTTCAGTATAAAAAGCCCCTGAGAGTGATAGCTTCAAAGAAATGTCCATTATACTGTATATACAGTATATCCAGTATCCAGTTTTATCACAATGTGTATAGTGCCTCTCAAGATAACAACCTCATTAAATGCATATTTGTTGTACAAATATAACAAATTGTGGATAAATTAACTAATCCCTTTGTGCTGACACTTTTGGACAGCTGTACCAAGGGAATGAACAATAAGCTGGAAAATGGAGCAAACAGATTTTACACAGAACGGATTAGAGTCCAGATATGGATCTTGCTTTTAAAAATAATGCTAAAAATACCCTGGTTTACAAATCGCAAATGTGGCTTTGGGCTATATAAGCCTGCAGCGTGGGTTTACTCACACAACATGGAAAACCTAATTAAGATTCCCATGCTGCATCTCCCCTTCTCCAAAAAACAGCCTGTAGCACTTGGCTAATCACTCTATTAATCATGGCAATGCTGTTAGTAATCACACCAAGTGACATGCAATTATCTCAAATAAAACAGGATGGTGTAGGGACAACTCTTCTGCTCACACCTGAGACATCTTGAAACAGCAGAGAGCTCATAACTTTAGTGTGATAAAATTACTTACTAAGCTGTGTAACCTGATATAACTGTGTTATATGACAACATGACAACAATACGCACTAAAACTGTGACTAAAAATAACTGAACAGTTTCAGTTAAAACTAAGTGCTTTTATAAAATAATTTTGGCTGGGCAGTGTTGTTTTTAACTAAAACTAAAACCATTTAAAAGAGTTTCATTAACTGAACTAAAGCTGAAAAATAAAACATGAATATTAGAGGAAAAACAGAGAATTTAGAACATTAAAACAGAATTATGAAATAAATTATAAACTAAAAATAAATAAAATATTTTTGAAAACTTGAAGCATTAAAATGGCAAACTAAACCAAGTTAAACTAATTATTTAAATATATATATATATATATATATAAGAAACAAATATACATTTAAATTTACAATCACAAAATTACTAAAACTGAAAATATAAATAAAATAATAAAAGCTAATTCTAAATGTCAATAAATAATATAATAGCATATAAATATTACTAAATTAACACTGCTTGGAAAATGGGGTAAACAGAGTAAAATTTGGCACCATTTACTTCAACTGGAAGTGTATTGAACCCTGAATATTCCTTTAATGCTAGTCTAGATGGTGGGTCGTGTAAAACTTGACTAAACAATATCAAAACAAATGAAGAGTTCAGATGCAAAAGCCTTTAAGTGCCATCTGACATTTTCGTCTAAAATTAGTATTTTTTTCTCAGGCTCCTATGTTTAGGTTCAGTAATTTTACTCTAATGGCAATGTATAGGTCCTTTTCTATGCAATTAGTGTGAAATAACTGAACATAAATATAGGAGCCTGATAAAAATGCTAATTTTAGAAGAGAATTTCAGACGGCATTTAGAGGCTTTTGCATCTGAACTCTTCAAATGTAGTTACTAGGCAGCGAGCTCCAGAATTCCAGTCGAGTTGAGTTTGATTTTGTGCTGCCTTGCGGCTGAATTCAGGTTGCCTGCTAACCTTAATGAGCTACAAAGTTCTTAGGAGTCCACTGGCAGCTAAAGGACACACAGCATGAGCCTACCATCCCTCCCAGCATCTCTCTGTACCTGTGATTTTAAAATAGAAGTACAATTTCACAAAAAATAATTAACAAACAACACATGAGCACTATGGCCAAAGTTGTGCGAACACTGTGAGAATGCTGACACAGAGAAAACAAGCATCTTGGCCCCAAAACATCCTCCTATCTGGGTACACTCCTCCTCATTTCCTGTCACCCTGTCTGAAGGCCTTCTGGGCTGGAAGAAGAGCACAGTCAGAGGAAAAACTCTGACTCTGAAAGTGCTAACTGCACATTTTATACTGGGGGTCATGAACCCTCCCCATATTCAGCATCTATGTCAATTAGTCCTGACAGTGAAATGTCAATAATTTAATCATTAGAAATTGTTAGGAAGGGGATGAATAGAGAACAGTCCCAAGCAGTGGTGGACTTCAGCACTTAGCCTATAGTGCGCTGATTGAATTTTTTTTATTTTACATTACTGGTTGGCCATAATGACTTTACACATTAATTCTGTGACATATTAACTCATAGAAAATAACCAAAACAATCCAAGGTTTTTATTTAGCACAGTGGCTAGATTAACAAATAACCAGACGCCACCCGATCTAAATATTCCCTCACAGTTTAATAGTAATGACTTTATGAATTTCTTCTAGTGATCGACCGCAGGACTTGACGGATTATCTTACGTGACTCTGTGAGTTCATCTCTATTTCTTAACTGCATATCAGGCATTTATGTAATACATCTAATTTGTGCATTAATGGCTGTTAACAAAACCGATATCCGATTATTGTAAAATGCTTAAATATCGGGAAAAATATCGGTAAATCGATATATCGGTCGATCTCTAATTTCTTCACTTATAAAATAGATGGCATCAGAAATACAATAACAAATTTAGATTCTACAGCGTCTAGTATTTTAGATTCATTAATCGCATCCAAAGAAAAACTGCAGTGCTTTACAAATATAGGACAGGAAGAGCTAAATAAACTTATCACTGCATCTAAACCAACAACATGCCTGTTAGATCCTGTACCCACTAAATTACTGAAAGAGTTGTTACCTGTAGCAGAAGAACCGCTTCTCAATATTATTAACTCGTCGTTGTCTTTAGGTCACGTCCCAAAACCATTCAAGCTGGAGGTTATTAAGCCTCTTATTAAGAAACCACAACCAGATCCTAGTGAACTGGCAAATTACAGACCCATATCAAATCTTCCTTTTATGTCTAAAATTTCTGAAAAAGTTGTGTCTGCTCAATTGTGCTCCTTCCTGCAAAAAAAAGATCTCTATGAAGAATTTCAGTCAGGTTTCAGACCCCACCATAGCACAGAAACTGCACTTGTTAAAATTACAAATGACTTGCTTCTTGCGTCAGACCAAGGCTGTATCTCATTGCTAGTTTTACTTGATCTTAGTGCTGCGTTCGACACTATAGATCATGACATACTCATAGATCGATTACAAAACTATACAGGTATTCAAGGGCAGGCTTTAAGATGGTTTAGATCCTACCTGTCCGATCACTACCACTTTGTTCATTTAAATGGGGAGTCATCTCAATTATCACCAGTAAAATATGGAGTGCCACAAGGATCTGTCCTAGGTCCTCTGCTATTTTCGATATACATGTTGCCCCTGGGTAATATTATTAGAAAATACGGGATTAGTTTCCACTGTTATGCCGATGATACTCAACTATATATCTCAACAAGACCAGATGAAACTTCTAAATTATCTAAGCTAACAGAATGTGTTAAAAATGTAAAAGATTGGATGACCAATAATTTTCTCCTATTAAACTCGGATAAGACAGAGATATTACTTATTGGACCAAAAGACAGTACACAGAATCTCGTGGATTACAATTTGCAACTAGACGGATGTACGGTTACTTCCTCTACAGTCAAAAATCTGGGAACTGCATATCAGGCATTTATGTAATACATCTAATTTGTGCATTAATGGCTGTTATGTTAAATAAAGTTTACTAACTACAGTAAATCAAGTACCTGTGCACGCCGCTGTTGTTGCCTTGTTTCCCCTCAGACGCACTGCAATGTTGATCCTGCGCGCAATTCTCAAAACATCCACAAGATGGCGGCGTTTATCGGCGAATCCGATATTACAAAACCGATATCCGATTATTGTAAAATGCTTAAATATCGGGAAAAATATCGGTAAATCGATATATCGGTCGATCTCTAATTTCTTCACTTATAAAATAGATGGCATCAGAAATACAATAACAAATTTAGATTCTACAGCGTCTAGTACTTCAGCTTCATTCATCGCACACAAAGAAAAACTGCAGTGCTTTACAAATATAGGACAGGAAGAGCTAAATAAACTTATCACTGCATCTAAACCAATAACATGCCTATTAGATCCTGTACCCACTAAATTACTGCAAGAGCTGTTACCTGTAGCAGAAAAAACGCTTTCTCAATATTATTAACTCATCATTATCTTTAGGTCATGTCCCAAAACCATTCAAGCTGGCAGTTATTAAGCCTCTTATTAACCCTTTAGGCGCCAGGGTTTTTTGGAAAAATGCTGGATTTTGACATCAAGATTTCAAAAGCTTGTGGCTTGAAAGGGCTTAAAGATAGAGATCTAATTTAAAAAAAATGTTGAGCATGACCGAAAGTTTATGTGGGGTGTAAATATACTCATCTAATTTGCATATTATGACGTCATCAGGGGGCGGCCCTCCTGAATGTCATAATATTCAGGAAATAATAGATATTGAATTGATGTTTGAACTTATTTGCATGTCGAGTTTCTCTCACAAATCTCACAGCTTACCCGCACGCTATAGATCTGAACTGCTTCCGCATCAATGACACGATAGCTCACTTGCTTTGCTCTTTCCTCAAACACTTTGAATAGGAAGGTGACGTAATTTTGGTCTAGAATTGAAGTACTACATGTCTGCCATCTAGTGGTAGGGAATACAAATGAGATATTACACCATATTAGGAACTACAGTCTATTTGATTAAGTATGACGTCTTGTCGCAATTTTGCGACTTTGGCGCAAAGAGGGTTAAGAAACCACAACTAGATTCTAATGAACTGGCAAATTACAGACCCATTTTAAGTTGTCCGTTTATGTCTAAAATTTTAGAAAAAGTTGTGTCTGCTCAATTGTGCTCCTTCTTGCAAAAACATTATCTCTATGAAGAATTTCAGTCAGGTTTCAGGCCCCACCATAGCACAGAAACTGCACTTGATAAAATTACAAATGACTTGCTTCTTGCGTCAGACCAAGGCTGTATCTCATTGCTAGTTTTACTTGATCCTAGTGCTGCGTTCGACACTATAGATCATGACATACTCATAGATCGATTACAAAACTATACAGGTATTCAAAGGCAGGCTTTAAGATGGTTTAGATCCTACCTGTCCGATCGCTACCACTTTGTTCATTTAAATGGCGAGTCATCTCAATTATCACCAGTAAAATATAGAGTGCCACAAGGATCTGTCCTAGGTCCTCTGCTATTTGCAATATACATGTTGCCCCTTGGTAATATTATTAGAAAATACGGGATTAGCTTCCACTGTTATGCAGATGATACTCAACTATATATCTCAACAAGACCAGATGAAACTTCTAAATTATCTAAGCTAACAGAATGTGTTAAAAATGTAAAAGATTGGATGACCAATAATTTTCTCCTATTAAACTCGGATAAGACAGAGATATTACTTATTGGACCAAAAAACAGAATCTCTTGGATTACAATTTGCAACTAGACGGATGTTATTTCAGATAAATGCTGATCTTTGGATCTTTCTATTCATCAAAGAATCCTGACAAAGCTAGTTCATGCATTCATGACCTCTAGACTGGACTATTGTAATGCACTGCTAGGTGGTTGTCCTGCATCTTCAATAAACAAGCTACAGGTAGTCCAAAATGCAGCGGCTAGAGTCCTTACCAGGTCAAGAAAATATAATCATATTACCCCAATTTTACAGTATCTGCACTGGCTACCTATTAAGTTCCATATCAGTTACAAAATATTATTACTTCCCTACAAGGCCCTTAATTGTTAGCTCCTGCGTACCTAACTAGAGTCTTCTACCACGCTTCAATCCATCACGCTCCCTAAGGTCGCAAAACTCTGGACTTTTGGTAGTACCTAGGATAGCAAAGTCCGGAAAGCCGTTGTAACATTTAATCTATAATCCATACTAGTATCTATTTTCATGGTACAAGTACCTATTTTTTAGATACTAGTATATTTTCCATTAAGTACTAGTACTTATTCTTTAGGTACTAGTGCTTATTCTTTAGGTACTAGTGTTTATTCTTTAGGTACTAGTGTATTTTGTAAAGTTACTAGTACTTATTCATTAGATACTAAGGAGGGTGTGGACAAGTCTTAACTTTTATAAAGAGGTAGTACCTATGATAGCAAAGTCCACTAAAGGAGGTAGAGCTTTTTCACATTTGGCTCCCAAACTCTGGAATATCCTTCTTGATAACGTTTGGGGTTCAGACACACTCTCTGTTTAAATCTAGATTAAAGATGCATCTCTTTGGCCAAGCATTCAAATAATGCATCTCATAATCTTGTACTGCAGTTATATCTGATCAAATGCACATTATTATTCCTTAGCTTGGGTTGAACAAATAATTTTTGCATGGTTGGAACAGCAGCTACGCTAATTATGTCTATTTGTTTCTCTGTTTCTAAACTACTAAATATATTGTAGAAACTTAATTTTCTGTAAAGCTGCTTTGCAACGATTTGTATCGTGAAAAGCGCTATACAAATAAACTTGAATTTAATTGAACATTATATATTCTTTTTATTTAGGTGTTTTAGTACATTATAATGTGTTTGTTGAGGAGAAGGCTGCTATTAGTTTTTACTTGGCAGATGACAATACAGACAAACAAATCTCATGACATATCTAGGGACTAAAATATCATAGAGATGGACAGGCTATTTTGACTTGGGCCAGTGAGAAAATAGGCCTACCTAGCAACCACTCAAAGCACAATAGCAACTATGCAGATCACCCAACCAGCTGCATATATAGGAACATCCAGGTAACACCCACAACACCCTAGAGCTGTGTGAGCACAGGAACTAAAGCATCAAATGTTTTCTTTAAGAATTGTTAGAATAGTATTTTTAATAAAAAAGTGCAACATTGTAACTACTGAAGTCTATGGATTATCGGGGATTTGCTGTGTGAGATCAGGCAGTGTGAGATTAACCAACATCTCATATATTATATTGTAGGGTGACAGATGTGTTGTTGTTTTGTATAAAAATACATGTTCTACACATCATAATTAATAAAATCAATATCAACATTAAAATCAAGATTTTAACAAAAATCCGTTCAAGTTTCCACTGAATTTTCATGCTTCAAAACACCCATTTCATATTACTGTAGGCTCCTTGATGAATAAAGCAGGCAACAAATCAGGGAGGCCCATATTAACAGAAAAATAAACTTTTCTGATCTAATAAGCAGATAGTATTGGGTTAGACAGTTTGAAGATGTGCACTAACACTTGTGTTTATGAGTGCGTGTCACTGATATAAAAGAACAGACCCTGCATCTGTTATATGAGTACTCTCTCTCAAACACACACACAGAGACAGTCTGGGTCCAAACAGCAGAGTAGCCAGGCCGAAACATGAGAGCCCGTGTGAACAATGGCGTTATTCTGAGGGGAGCAGATGAGATGGCAGACGGATGAACAACGTAGTCAGAGATCCTGATTGGAGCTGATCAACAGAGACCATGTGAACACAGACTGGGAACATGTTCAACTCACATAATCTCCATTCATTCCGCCTTTCTTTCTGCACTTTATCTTTCTTTTTGTCTTGCTTTTTTTATTATCTCACTCTGTCCCAGCAAAAATATGGGGATGTCTGGCTAAGTAATGGTGTACCTCAGGGCTCAGTGCTGAGCCCCCTTCTTTTCTTCTATATACTGAACATTATAAACGTGTGTGCGTAGAGCACCCTTGAGTGGAAGTGTCATCACCACCAGCTGAAGCAAACATGAGAAAAAGCATCATGCACCAGGGGATCAGATCTGACCACAAACGCCCCCCTTAACACATCAACTTCAAACACACACACACACACACACAGGCTCAGCATACAGCCACATGCTTGCTGGGAAGTTTGCTCATACAGCAGTGAAATGCAGCACGTGAGTGCACACATAAGTCAAGTAGAGCACTAAGGGTCTCACGTGAAACATAACTAATCATAAAATCACCATGATTTTAAAAACAAAGCAAAAATTATGTTATACAGAAAGAGAAAAGGGATGATATCAAGTGCTTATTAGTTGGCTCTCCAGAATACTTGATTCTAAAAGAAACACACAAGGAAACGGAAGAGGAAAGAGACAAAGTGAAAGGAAACTAGAAAGAGTGACAGAGAGAGATGAAACAAGAAAATTATACCAAAATGCACTAGAAAGAGAGAGACAAGCTTTTGGGGTGAATCACTTTGCTGCAGAGTTTCTTAAGACAGACTGAAAAACATTCTAGACAACAGTTTGCAATGCCAACTTACAATGTTTACGACTTTGACAACTACAGCATCGAAACAGCACTTAATCACTTCAGTTTACGTCCCTCCTCCTCTCCACACTTGACATGACGTACAGTATAAAGTCTTTTTTGCTTACCTCTGGGCTCCTCACTTTCTGTTCCTGCATGCTTCTCTGAGTGTGTGTGTATGCATGTGTGAGTGTGTTTCAGTGAGTGTTCAATCGGACAGTAGAGAGGTGTTCATGTTCTGTGGAGTGGCTTCCTTTTCTCTGGGCAGGCTCAGAGACTGTGTTCATCATGTTTGTGTGTGTGTGTGAGAGAGAGAGTGCATGCCAGAGATGTGGGGAGGCCCTGAATCACTTCCCCACCGCTGCATCCAGCACTCTGCGGCACTCAGCAAGTCTACTGCAGGGAGCACAGCCAAGCAGGAACCAAGAGAGGAAGGACCACCGAGCCCACACGGAAAAGTTGTACTGCAACACAGTTCCCGCTCAGAAAGTCGACAGTTGACAGGTACAACAAGAGCTTTTGTAGCTTATATGAACCTTAAATCAAGTATCAAAGCCCACAATACTACAGATTAGAAGTTGCATAGTTAATGTTAATCATAATTATTACTGCTGCAGTATTTTAAGAAACGCCTAACTCTAAATATTAGACACTGGTGAATAAGTCATTCTGCATTCTTTTTAGGGGTGGGTGATATACAGCTACACACGATTAACCGGTAGAAATTTGTCAACCGGCTGAGATTTTGGACTATCTTCTCTGTTGCAGATACACGCTCACGTGGCATTGCTGTGCTCCGTGGTCACGAACACCTATCATTTGTACATGCTATTAAGCATCACGGTTTAAAAACAAGTGATTTTAAGCCATTGAAATGCAATCAGCAGCAAAAGAGAACTCATTTCGCTATGTGCGTGCTGTCTGTCTATTTCTGAGCGCTGTCAGAGAGGCATGTGCACGTAAAGATGTTGCTCATAGATTGCGGGAGTATGTGAACAAAGTTTTTTTTTTTTTTTTTTACTTTATAGTGCTAGAACTGTTAAAAACACAAACTTGTATGTGTCAAAATTCCAGAAAGAAAATCTCTCGCTGCTCTTGACTAAATTACTTTTGTAACTTTAATAAGAAGAAATGTATATTTAATTTACACACACAAAAATATGCAGTTTTTATTTTTTATTTAAATGTATGTAGCATTTCTTATTTGTTCTACTGTAGTTTTTTGTACTATTGTTTGTAATTAGTTTCTTATTCTTATTTAATCGCTTGAGTGAGCTTGAGTTTTTTGACAAGAATTATGAAATTTCTATGGTACCAAAAAATTTTATATCATAAAGACCTTATTTAAAGCAAAAATAACTATATTGTGATATAATATTACCATGAAATAAAATCTCATACTCATATTGTGATATAAGATTTTGGACATAACACCTGCCCTAATTCTTTGTGCTAAGAACATGAATGATGCTTGAAATAATGTGGTTTGTTGAGAAGTGTATTACTTTTCTAAGTGATCATGATCAGAGTTTTTGCTTGGCAGATGAAAAACAGATATTGAAAAAATTCTGTAATACTTTGCAATAAGATTCCATTTGTTGACATTAGTTAACTGCAATAGTTAACAAGAACTAACAATAAAATTTCTAAAGCATTTATTAATATTAGTAAATGTTATTTTCAACATATAACACATTAATAAAATATGTTGTGTCTGTTAATATTATTTAATGGACTTGGATAATATGAACTAACAATGAACAATTGTATTTTCTTTTAATAATTTTAACAATAATTAATAAATACTGTAAGAAATGTATTACTTAATGTTAAAGCATTACCAAAAGTAGAGCCCGACCAACATATCGTTTTGGCGATATTATTGGCCGATATGAGTCTGTCGCAGATATATCGGTATCGGCGAATATGCCACCGATATGCAATTTTTTTTTACAGGACATATAATGCAGATTAAATGCTTCTGAATGGTGTAATTACTTCGTTTTTTCAGCAGAGTGTGCTCCATTGTTTGCTACTGGCGACCCAGGTCTGTGAAGTGTAGAGATGCGCGGATGAGCTCAAACTTCACGCGAGTCCGCTGCTTCAAATTATCCGCCCGCCCACCACCCACCCGCACCTATATTTGATCGTCACATTACAATGATTCGAATTCTTAGTTTTGCATGATGATATGATGAATGGATGGTTCATTTTTAACAGCAGATTTAGTGACGTTAGAGACTAGAGCTGATCTGTGCATCACGGCACGCATCTGCGGCGCATTAAAGCCTGTGTTAAGGCCACCGGAGCTGATTGCGGCCACTCAGTCAATGCTGGTGTTTATACCGGCCGTCCCGCGGCCCAGAACTCATGCTTATCACATCAGTCACGTCACATCGCGCGGCACGACAAAATACAATAGATTTCTATTGTATTTTGTCATGCCGCGCCGCTCGCATCCGGTGTAGAATAGAACCCATTATAATCAGTGATGTTGTCTACACTGGATGCAGTAAACTGATGCCTCGTTCTATTTATGATGTGCTGACAGAAGTTCAAATGATTTTCAATGGTCGCTTTGTCACGTCCTGTTGCGGTGCAGACACGGTGTTAGCATAGTTTGTCAGTACAGTCAGTAACGTAGCAGATTGAAAAGTTAGTATCTTTCTGCAGTCCAATAGACAGCAGTGTGGTGTTGGCTTGAGTCTGTTGAATGGTGATTTAACGCTACGTTGTCACCTAGTTGGAGAGACTCAATGCTAAGTAAATAAACAACAATGTCCCCGTCTTTTACTCTCACAATGAGCTTATCATATTCGTTTACTACATTAGCAGGGCCCTATGATTTCCGCGATGCAGAAAACATGGACGGAATCGTGGATTTTCTTATTTTTGATGAATAAATAAAAAACTGGTCAGTACATATATATATATAGACTGTGTCTGTGAAAATTAAACTGCAAAAAGACTTATTTAAATATGTTATGCATGTTCATTTGATTACCAGAAAATACACAACACAGAATTTGTGAAAAAAAAAATTATTCATTATTATTATTATTAATTCATTTTTATGTTTACATTTGGAAAAGCTGTGCTTCCTGCATAAACCTGCCCCTGTTGGTTTGGCAGCAGCTTGCTTGCCCTACACAGTTACCTTGTTTAATTTCTTAATTCAAGTTATATATATTTTGTTCTATTTGGGTTAAGTTATTTATAATAGGTGAAGTGAAGTTTACTGTTGAGTGCACTGATGTCAGACTCATTTTGAATAATAAAGTTTATTGTTAAATTGTTAAATACCCTGCCTCCACTA